TTATGGACACTTTCCTGAACATGATTGCACATACCAATTATTACGTGAGGCAGTTATGTAATTCGATATGTATATAATATTTTAATTACTTTGATTCTATATAAGACAGTTAAAAGTGAAAAATAACAAATTAATCAATTCTCAAAATGTGACTTTCATTATGATTATTTCCAAGTATCTCACGTATACTGTAAACACGTAGACTACCGACGTAAGTATTTTTCTCTTGTCTGATACCCAATTGAAAAATAAAGTCTATACTGCGTTAAAAAAAATAATAAACTTACTAAATTTGTCAAATATGCAACTACTATTTCGAAGTATTCCAAGTAAATTACTGCAATTAAATTTTTTTTTTTTTTAATGTTTATGAATAATTTAGAATTGTAACTACTACTTTAATTGAATAAAAAGACTGTTATTAAATACTTGAAATTTGTTTAATTTAATGACTTGGTTTCATTGAATGAGTTGTTTCTGAAATACATATGATTTTACAGTAAAAACGTTTATTGAATAGCCTGACACTGTTTAGAAGTTTTTTGTTGCCAGTAAATAAGTTTTTGGTGAAAAATTATTTTTTTATTGAAAAAGTATTAAAGTGTATAGTGCGTATTGACTTCATAAACAAATAATCACAACGAAATTTTTACACATAGCAAATAATTTGTTCCAACGAAAATAAAAATGAAAATTTTGGATGACGTAGATATTTATTGAAATAAAAAACATGCATACCAATCAAATGAAAAGGGTAAACATAGATTATACTAAATATTTATTTTCTTTTGCTGAACTATCTTCTTGGTATAATCTGTATTTAAAAAATGTTGTTAAGGATAGCTTTATCAAACGAAAAAAATATATTAAAATATCGTTGAAAAAGAATCAATCATCAATGAAACAAAAATAAAATATAGAACCACGTGCTCCATTCTCTGAAAAGTCACGAAAATAACACACCGAAAAACCGCCCAAAAAACTTGATCGATCCTCTAAGTAGGAATATGATCATAAAAAATAAAATTCCAACTCTCCTCGAGGAAGAAATTTCGGGCCCGCGCCCTAAAGCTATCAAAAGCCGGTCGAGCACCAGCAGAAACCCATGCTGCTGCATCATTATTTTCATTTCCAGAGCCTTCACGCAGGTTATTCTCAGCCATCACGCCTCGAGAGCATCTCTACGTATAGAGTAGAGGAGAGGGAAAGGCTTGATATACAGAAGCCTCCGAAAAATCTCTCTGCCCGACCAGCATACGCTCAAGAGTTGGATGCGCATGTATGTATGGGTATGAGCACACACCAACGTCCAACGCTCGTCTGTGGTGCTGACGTGTAGCGATGTCACGGAGTAAGGAAAAAAACGAACGAATGGAGGCTCGCCGTATGTGTTGCGTGAAGTGACGAAAAACCTTGAGTCATGGTTTTTCGGGGCGAAAATCGGATCACCGAGAGTATGACGAAAGATAAGTTATTGCTTACACCAGTTCCAGGGAAAGTTAAGGAAGCACATCTGACAAATCTTATAACGTTTTGCATAGTGATTATTGTTACGTAAGCTGAGGCAATTTTATTTCATGAAATTACGGTGTAGCTCGTAAAAATATTTGACATCGAGAGAATATCCAGAAGTACATTAATTTTCCTTCGATGATTTTCATTACAGCAACTGAAATATACATAATAGCTACATCTGGAGGCTGTGATGATTCGAGGGGAATGAGCAATAGTTCCCCGAGTATCCAGAGATTCTCGGGTTAAAAAACGCAAGTTGCATGAAAATCTCGACCGGTGCCGGCATCACTTTCATTACACGACCACTTCAACGCCCATCGAGGGCAAGGTTTCCTCGATTCTTTTTTGTTTTTTTTTTTGTTTTTTTTTGTTTTTTTCATTTTAAAGCACACGGCATATCGGCGCAATTGAACTAGAAAGCACCACCTGTGCCAAACCAATGGATTCCTCGATCAAAACGTACACGCGATTGAGTGATTAACCGAGGAATCCTCAATGGGAAAGACGTGCGTGACAATCGTCGAGATGAGCATTTTCCGAGATACGCGCGGGTGTGCGTGCGCAGCGCGGCCGTGCACTGCACCTATCTGTGTGCGCGTGAAAAGCACCATTTCGAGCAATAACCCGACGTAGAGCCGTGCCAAGCTTCATGTATATTATCATATTTGGTGCGCGACATAATATGTGTATACATCGTATCTAATAACACGCGTGCAAAAGTCAAATCATTGGATTTCAACCCAAGGTCTGCCAGCAAAAAAATTGGAAAAATCAATGTCGAGCTTGGGAAAAAAAAAAAGTTTTTTTTAATTAAAAAAAAAAAAAAAAAAAAAAAAAAAGGTACGTACCTTATTGTTACTGTCGATGCAGTTGGTGGTGTTGGTTTTGTTGATGTTGCTGTTGCTGAAACCCATTTTGCTGCCGCTAGTTTTTTTGGTCAAAGCTGGTTGATTTTTTTTTTCCGTCTCTCTTCTTTTCGCTAGGGGAGAAATCCCACCAGCAAACAGACTATTTGCCCCGAGGGTCGGGAAACTATGCAGCCTCGCAAGGGGTGCTAATGCCCGAAAATAGAACTGAACCAAGTAACTCTATGACACACTACTGGGGTAACGCGTATATAAATATATATATACACACGTACGATAATTATACACTCACGTCAGGTAAGTATCGCGCGCTTGGACAGACTATAGTTTTGACGAAGCGATCGATCGATGAGAGCCGAATGTAACAGTACGCGCGCGTGTGCGTGTGCGTGGGGGAGGGATCACACTCGGCGAAGGCGACGATAGCGGTGGTGGGGAAGAAATTTTATACGCCAGAGAGGCGGATAATTATGTATGTAGGAAAAGCCCCGAGTGCGCGACACGCGACAACGAGAGGGAGTGCACGAGTAAGTAGAACAACAGTTATATATTGTAAGGAGTATTCGTGACTTTGGCGTGTAGTGAAATCGAGAGAAGAGCTTCCGAGGTAAAAGTCGATGCTGGCGCAGAGCAAGCAGGAATGCGAATGAGCGTCCCGGCGAGCTCCCGACAGCCCCTCCGAGTCTCGGCTTCTCTCTCTTTCGCCGTCTCTTTCCCCCTTATCTCTCGTTTGATTATATCTTTCCTCTCTCTCTGCCTCGCACAACCCGTATATATCTATAAATACCAGAACTGCAGCTATATATATATGTATGACTTTTACAGCCGGTCTTTTGGGTGACTCGGATCTGCGAGGACCGTACGATATAATATACACCCTCATTTTTGGCTCTCCCTTTCGTGACTGCACGGTTATTCGAAAAAAACCTGCGTGGTACATGGAAAAATTGACCCTGGGGAGCCCACATAAAGTTTAGGCATTTTATCCTCTGCGTTCTCAGCAAGTACGATGAGACTTTTATTTTTTTTCCGATTGGCACCACTGAGTGTGTCTGTTTTTTTTCTACTATGTCATAGCACACTTGCAATCGGTATTGATTTTTGACACTTATTCCATTTTTTCTAGGTTTTTTGTTGAAAGTTCTGTTGAAGATCGATCGAGGCATTGTTTGTTTATACCAGGGTTTTCCTGATAGCCGTGCGCGTCATCGCTACGTGCAGTTTTATCAACAGTCGGGAGTGGGAGGGATTTAATTTATTGGGTGGGATTTCTGTTTACCGGAATAATATATATATGTATATATATATATATATATATATGTGTATACGTTGATGGGTTCGCTGATAAAGCTTGCTTCGATCGGCAATTGCAATCGGTAAAGGTATCGGCAGAGGGGGGGGGGGAAAGAGATCGGTAAGCGTAATGATACGGTTTCAAGCAGTTGTTTTTTCGAGTAACCTATTATATTTACGTATGAGTATTGGATGTCAGAGATAAGCTGTATGTGAAAGAGATTTTGAATGCCCTAAAATGTCGTGTTTGACTCTACAGATAATCAATACGGTATTCAGCAATCAGAGAGTTTAAAACAAATTGCAAATTACAAGAATAGTAATTAATTAAAACAGACAGAATATATTCTCTTGATGTTTCACATTATACAGAAGCATATCATAATACATACCAATTATTACGTGAGGCAGTTATGTAATTCGATATGTATATAATATTTTAATTACTTTGATTCTATATAAGACAGTTAAAAGTGAAAAATAACAAATTAATCAATTCTCAAAATGTGACTTTCATTATGATTATTTCCAAGTATCTCACGTATACTGTAAACACGTAGACTACCGACGTAAGTATTTTTCTCTTGTCTGATACCCAATTGAAAAATAAAGTCTATACTGCGTTAAAAAAAATAATAAACTTACTAAATTTGTCAAATATGCAACTACTATTTCGAAGTATTCCAAGTAAATTANTACTGTTTTAAAGTAATTCAAAATTTTTTTTCGTTAATATTGTATTTTTAAAAAAGTCATGAAATTTTTTTTAAATTGCAAAAAGTATGTATTATTTTTTTGAATCGAAACAATTCAAAATACTTGTGATTTTTACCTTAGAAATTTGTATTCAATATACAATGCATCACTTTTTATTTACATACTTCAAGTACCAACTTGCCAGATGTCTGTAAAGGCATACATTCATATCTGACTACGGTTCAGTAGTCACCATTACTTATTGTTATATTTAGTGCTTTAATAAAAGTATTTATTATATCAGTGAGTATATTGTCACTGACTGATTAAACTAATTTTGTTAAACGTGGTTATGCTACTCGTTATTACAATTGCGGCTGCTTTAAACTGTGATTGCATCGTTTTTCAAGTACTATTTTTCTTGTAAATCTGCGTAAGATGAAAATTTTCGTCAATAATATTCAGAGACGTAGCTTGAGGTAGTTTAGAGCCAATGATTGATTAGAGATCTATGACATGAGCTTTTAATTCTATTTTATGTATCACGAAGCTCATAAAATATTGATTATAAAATAAAACGTTCAATCGACTTTTTGACAAACTCTGTTGGATGAACATGGGTAACTGGAGCGTACGTAAATGTATAACCATTTTAAAATGAATCATGTAAAAATAATGGGTACCGACACAGTTCAAAGATACAGTACATTCACCCCATTGGTGTTGAACGATGAGTCGTTAGCGTTCGAAAACATTTCGGTTAGAAAATATTCTGAAAGATGAGGTTTCAAAAATTAAGTACACTCATGCATAAGCAGTCGACGAAAAAGCCCGAACGGGACGTGGTCATTCCCCTATCGGATTAGGCGCAGGAGAGATCTCTGCTGTAGGTCTTAGTTCACGTTCGGCTGTTGGCAAAGACGACGCGTGCGTGCGAACGGGTCTTAAATCGCCTTCAGACTTTTAGAGGAATTTATGCGTCGAGAAACTCTGCTACGTGTCAAAGTGAAATCGGTGTCACGTGCAATTCAATCAGGGGAAACTTTGTTGGCAGAGTGACACGGAAAAACTGCGATGGGCTAGAGTTTTTTCCAACTGTACATATGAGTTTAATTTATTAGTCATCCAGATGCAATGCTCTTAAATTTATTATTGATTTATGAAACTATTATAATGAACAGGACCGGAAGAACAGTTGTCACGTCGAATGGCTTGAAAGTGCCCCGAGAATTTTATAATCACTACAATAAAAACCTAAAGCAACACTTAAAAAAATACTATACAATTTTTTACAAAATAACGATTAAACAAAGTAATTGCACGGTAAAATATTCATCGTCAACAACGTGTATTCATAAGAAAATGGCTAATTGAAAAGAGACAGAGGCTCAAATTAACTTGATTAAAAAAATAATAGACCAGATTACAAAATGGTTGTCAAAAATAAAATAACTTTCAGTGATGGTATCTACTAAGGGATATCAGCAAGGAATTGTTGATATTTGATGTATATTAACTGAGAATGGAAAATTTATACAACTAATCATGATCGAAAAATCCAATAACAAAAATTGAATCAATAAAAAATAGCTTTGGTTCTATTAGATGGACAGTATATTTATTAAAAATATTTACTTGCATTTTCTATCATGGTAAAGCAAAAAATTTGTTTGAGAATGTTTAGCTAAAAATATGGCTAGTTTTAATTTTTTATAAAATACTGACAGATTGGGCTAATTAATCTATATTAACTATTAGTGTGACGTGATGATGATAAAAAATAAAACTAAGATGAAAAGTATTTCTATAGAACTGTACATTTTTAATAGTTCAAGTTTTAAGTAAAAGATGGAATTAAGGCTCCAAAAATGTGGTCTTAAGTATTACACTATAACCGTATAAAAATATGGAGTTTTTATTATTACTATCTATACATCAAATTTTAAATGATTCTGACATTTTTATCATTTTTACGGTAAAGATGGAACTAGGAAATAATATATTCTCTCTTAAATTTAAAGGCTTTAGATGTTAACCTGAAAGCAAATATCTTCAAGAAAAACAATTTTTTTTTAATTTGCAAACTTTTTTGTCATGTATCGTATAGCTATGTAAATAAAATGTTAAACATTAATGTTTTTGTACGATTTTAAAAAATGAAAACAGCCTAGTCACTTAATTTTAAAATTCTGATATAATTTTAAAGTACATCTGTAAATATGTTAATCATTATTACAATCAAAAAATAAATTTTTGAATTCGGGTTGGTTCAAATTCTAATTGTTTTTGAGTCCTTAAAAATTACTTTCCTCTCAAATTATTGAAAAAGATTTTAATTTGTAGAATTCAAAAACTCAATATTAGATATATGCTGAACAAGATTTGAAACTAAAAAAGACGTAAATTTTTTTAACATCAACATTTCAGAAGAATTTAAAATTAAATTGAATAATAATTTGAAGCTAAGATATCATGTTCTAAGAACTTTACTCCTACTAACACATTTTTTTATCGTAGAATGCCTACTTAAAGTGCATGCAATATACTATGACGAAGAGAAATAAGTCACAAAAATGACAGGTCACTTAATATTTGGCCAAACTACAGTTTGGCTTACAACGCCACACGCAAAGTCATGTATGCATCCTAGCACCACGTAGTTAATTGTGCACTTACACTAGAGCAGTCCTGAATAAATTACTTTTGCCTTTTCTATGTCATCAAAGTTCTGACAATTCACAAGTTTTTATGGCTACTTGTGAGCGAAAATTTTTTTCTCTTCCGTTCTAGCTTGTACAGCCCATTGATGCTAATCTTTTGTTCATCTGTGACGGGTATCAAAATTAATCCGCTTTACAGGCTTTTATTTAATTTTTTATTTTATTGATGCTAAGTCGATGTTAAATCATAAATAAAAAATGGTATTATTTACTGCAAACCCAATAATTTAATTTATTTCATTGATCCCATGCGTTCTATCAAAACATTGTTTATCAACAAATAAATTGGGATCACAATAACAAATGATCTTTATTGTTTCGTATCGTAAATTTAGCAAGACAAGTACTAAATCAATCATATCTAGATGAAAACAAATCGTTACAATAACAATTTGGAATGTATGGATTGTCTGACTAGTTTCTACTAAATCCTTAAAAAACCATTTAATAAACAAAACATTGTTACTTGAATAAATTTATACTTCTTTCGAGAAAAAACACTAGTGAATCGAGAGAACAAACTTACAGTAATGATGATGAAAGCTTTTATGATGCAAGAAACACAAAAACTGACTTTACGTAACCACGCTCATTTTTTCGTAAAATCGCTCCGTGCATTAATTAAAATTTTTTTAGTATCTCAATGATACCCCCACACTCGTTTCTGCAGAATGATGTCCAATGTTATTTAATTGAAGAAAAAAAATATTAAAGTGAATACACAGCTGATTATTATTGAAAAATCATGTTACTCACGGTTTTAACCATCCGCCGTGCAATTATGGACACTTTCCTGAACATGATTGCCGAATGAATCGAGTGTGTTTTAAAATACACACCCGCGTGCTTGAAAACACAAATACCCCCGAGACTCGAGAAAGTTTTTTTGTTGAAAGGGGAAAAAACAGGTTAAACTACGT